CACTTCGCTGGCCTCGTCGACGAGGACCACGGGCACGCGACCCTCGACCACGACCACCAGAGCTGCAATAGGTGCTGCAGCGAGAACTCCAGCGGGGCATGCAAAGAAGCTCTCTGCCAGTGCAGCCGCGCCGCCAGCTCCACCATCACCAACACAAGAAGCTGGTGACGATGATTTGTGCGAATCTCCATCTATCATCCCACGCAATCTGCTAATAAATGTTTCAGGTCAAGCCCCATTCATGTCCCTTCGCGCAGCAATGGCTTGCTCAAAGACAAGGCCGCCTCTGATGCAGAAGCTGAAAACAGGCGCAGCGCCCTCGCGCCCATCAAGGCTGCGCTGGCCAAGCTCGGTGAGGAGACACCGCGACCGGACACGGCGCCAAGTGGGCCGGCGGAGATGGACGTCGAGACCAAGCGGCGGAGCGCACAGATCATGCAGGACTTCTTCAAGGAGACAAACCTCCGCGAACAGCTACAAGAGCAGTGCGACGACCTGGCCCGTGAGGTCGACCACCTACAGACGGAGAAGGAGAAACTGAAGAAGCAGCTGCTCGATGCAGAGGTCGCCATTGCTGAGAAAGACAAGGCCATTGCTGGCGTCGCGGGCGCTGCTGGCACCGACGACTCCGCGCATGAAACCAGAATCGATGAGATGGGCAGGAAGTTTGCGCAGGAGACTAAGCAGCTGGAAGAGCAGAGCCAGAAACTCGAAGAGGAAAAGCAGGCAGAAGCCACCAAAGCTGCCGAATTGCAGCAGGTGCTTGACGACCTCAACGAGGAACTTGAGCGTCAAGGCCAGGAGTGGGACGCTGAGAAGAAGAAGCTCGTCGAACAGGCGCAGCAGATTGCGCAGCTCACCACTGAGGTTTCTTCACTCAAGAGCGAACGCGATGCCCTTGCAGAGAAACTGGACACTGCACAAAACACACTGGAGACTTTGCAGACCAAGTTCACAGAGTTTGAACAGAGCAAGACGACAGAGTTACATTCGCGCGATGAAAAGGTTGCTGACCTTACTCGGACTGTCGAAGAGTTGCGCGCCGAGACCGCAGCTTCTGAGCAACGTCACAGCGAGGCCCTGCAGGATGCCAATCGTTCTCTGGAATCCAAGTCGTCAGAATCAGCCAAATTGGTCGAGGATCTCCAATCACAAGTCAAGAAATTACAGCAGCAGCACACCGACGAGCTACATGCCAAGGACGAAACTATCGACTCGCACGTCAAAGCTAGGGAAGAGTTGCAGCGTGATCTGTCCAACCTCCAGCAGCGTGCAGACCAGGCAACCGCTGATCTGGAGGGTGCACGCACTGCACATGCTGAAGAAATCCAGACAAAGATTGACCAACTCCAGCAGCGAGCTGACGACGATCTCCGCTCGCGAGAAGAGGAGGTCTCAGGACATCTCAAGTCAATCGATGGGCTCCAGGAACAGATTGCCAAGCTTCAGCAGGGCGAAACTGACGGCGCCCACATTGCAGAGGAACTGCGCAAGCAGGTTGAAGAGTTGAAGCAATCGCACGATGCGGCACTCAAAATCAAGACCGACGAGAATGACGAGCTTGTGCAGCAGCTAGATGCCATCAACGACCAGCTGAGCGCCGATGCGACCGAGCTTGAACAGCTCAGAGACGAAGCCGAGGGACTTCGCAGGACCATCACCACACTCGAGCAAGTATCGCAGCAGGAAAACTCTCAGCATGCCTCAGAGCTTGCAAAACTTCGAGCTCACCTCAACGAAGCTACGAAAAAGTCCGAGTCACACCAAGCCGAGCTCAGTGCGGTACAGGAGAAACACGAAAAGGGCGTGGACTCTCTGCGCGAAGAACACGAGTCAAAGATTCAATCATTGAAGGCTGATCTAGAAATCGACGCAAATGACCGCCTGAGTGCACTCCAGGCGAAGTACGATGCCTTGGTGGTGGAGAAAAACAGTGCCCTGGAGCAGTTCGAGAAAACTTCTAGTGAGCGGGCTCATGAACTTGAAACGCTGTCCAGGGACCTCGCGAGCTTGCAGGAGAGCTCTGGCTCGGCTTCCAAGGACCTCACTGATGTGCGCACCAAGGCCAAGCAATTGGAGGAAGAAAAGGTTGATTTGGAGACCCGCATCGAGGCCTTGTCTAAGAAAGCTACCGCTGCCGAAGAGTTGCAAACTCGACTTGACGCGTTATCGGACGAGAAGAACGCCATCAATGAAGCACATGCCAAGTCGCAGACCATTATCGTGAACCTCCAAGCCCGTCACGACTCTCTCCTCGAGGATAAGACCTCGGCCGAGGAGTCGCACGCACGCGCCCTTGATGCGCTGAAACAGGAATCTGATAGTGCGGCAAAGAAGTCGCTTGCCGACTTGCAGACCAAGTACGACAGTCTGCTGATGGAGAAGAGCGCTGCAGAGGAGGCGCACGGCATGTCAAAGACTATTATTGCGGACCTTCAAGCTCGTCACGATGGTCTCTTGCAAGAAAAGACTACCGCTGAGGATGCCCACAGCCGTGCAATCGATGCTCTCCAGCAGGATAGCGAAAGCACCACCAAGCAGTTCCTCGGTGAGCTGCAGTCGAGATACGATGCTCTCATGGATGAAAAGAGCAGCACAGAACGCGCTTATAAGACAGAAATCGAGGATCTTCAGAAAGATCGCGAGGCAGTGGCCAAAGAACTCTCAGATCTTGAGAAGGCGCACGAGGGTGTGACTAACGATCACAAGTCAGCGCAAGAATCCCACAGCAAGGCACTCGAGGCGCAGCAAGCCGAGATTGAGCAGAAATATGCTTCGCTTCTCGACACACTGCAAGAAGATGTCTCGAGACTCGAGAAAGAGAAGGCCGCTGCGGTCTCGGACAAGCAGTCTGCCCTCAATGAGCTGGTAGCCCTTAAGAAGGAGCTGCACGCGGAAATTGATGCACTACGGAATGAGTTGGGCTCAAAGGACGAATCTGGCTCTGCAACCCTGAGCGAAGTCACCAAGAAGTACGAGGATGTTCTGGCCGAAAAGACCGCGGCCGACGATGACCATCAAGCCGCCATCACATTGCTGAAGGAGGAATTGAAAGAACAACACGGGCGCGCCCTTTCTGAGCTACAGTCTGAGCACGACTCCCTTCGACACAAGCTCGCAACGATGGATCAAGAGCACAGCGATGCGATTGCACTGCTTAAGGAGGAGTTCAGGGCAGGGCATTCCAACGATGTGCAAAGTCTGACACAGCAATTGGAAGTTCTACAAAAACAACACAAGGATCTCACCGATCAAAAGCTTTCCATGGACCAGGCCCATGAAGAGGCCATTTCTGAGTTGATGATGGGCATGGAGTCTAGCCAGTCGGACGCCGTTCAACAGCTGCAGAAGAAGTACGATGCTCTAGTTGCACGCTTGGAGGCCGCACAGGCAAGCCATACTGCTGAGATTGAGTCCATTAAGCAGGGCGACACTGAGCAGCAGACATTCCACAAGGACCTACAGTCACGCCACGACAAGGCTGTCCAAGAGGCGGAAACCCACTCTCATGAAGTGAAGCGTCTCCAGCAAGCGATTGAGGGCATGCAGGAGGAGCATAGGCAAGCCGCCAGGTCTGTCGTCGACACAGAAGCAAGCACACAGGAGTTGGAAACCCTTAAGAAGGCACTCGAGGATGCCCAAGCCGAGCGCGACGAAGCTGTTGCAGCTGCGGAGGACGCGCAGGATCGCATCGAGATCATGAAGGGCGAAGTGGTCAGGAAGCACCTCGCTCGAGTTGAGCCTTTGGAGAAGGAGAACGCCGCTCTCTTTGACAAAATCGACCGCCTCGAAGCTATAATCGCAGCCGGAGACCGCGTCGCACGCGCCGCAGCCACACTTGGTGAAAAGCGCGACATCAACACTCTGACCGAGGAGGACGAGGAAGAGGAGGATACTTCAGACGCTGCACCTGGTGCGCAGCAAGTACCCAAGGTCAATGGCACCAACAATGACGTTATTGGTACTGTGAGTCACCTCTATTCACATTTGACAAGCAATTGAATGTGTCGCTGATACAGTGTAGCAGTTAGCCGCGATGCAGGAGACACTCAACCAGCTTAGCGAGCTGAATAACGATGCCATTGCAGAGAGCTCGCGCACGGCACAGCGCCTGACGGAGCAAGATTAGTGGTGTTTGCTGCAATGATATACATATACGGAGCGCGCAGCTGAAGCGGAGGAGAATGTGGGAACGAGGTTGTCCCAGTGTACATGTGTTGTTTGTCGTTTGAGGCACTATACCCCGTTTCTCATTGTTGTGCAGAAGTGCACGGTGGCATATTATACCCAGTTCTAGCTCGACAGCGCCCACGTACGGGACGGATTAATACATTCATGACTCAAATCCGAGCTGCCTTGGTGGGTTGTGACCATGCCTCAGATTCGACTGCCGGCACGAGAAGTTGTTTAAAACTTACCCCGCCGTTGCGCAACCAAAATCCTCGCCAAAACCAGGAAAGGCGGCATATTTTGAAATTTGAATTGATCACATTCAGCAACAACCTCGTATAGTCGCAGGGAGAATACATATCCCTTGTCGCATAGCTGTCTGCTTTGATACTATACACTTTCAAGAAGTCTAAGAAGCGTATGGCGTCAAGGGGTAGTGTTCAAAATCCGCATTGTTAATTTTCATTCAATGTACAAGAGGATTTTGAACACCGTCCCTTACGCCTCCTTGGGCGCCTATACCCCTTGAAAAGAGTGCACCTACTGTGCTTGCTCTAACCAGTATCTTTATATAACTCCCGTACGGACAGGAATAGCTTCCAGCAAGTTACAATGCTACGGAGTCGAGATCCGAGGTCAGAATTTAATTGGGTTGAAGAGGGCTCTAGTGCGTCGCGCAAGGGGTTCCGTCGGGAAGCGGAGCCAGTCCAACTAGATGTGAAAAGTCTGCATGTCGGTTTCACAACCCGCGAGCCAGATGTCACCACTCGAATCGTGACGTTTTACGCAGTATATATATTGAATAGAAGCTTCAACAGCATCAATTGATCGGTTTTGTAGTGTAGCGGTTATCACTCTGGATTCTGATCATCAAGTCAGATAACTATTCCAGCAACCCCAGTTCGATTCTGGGCAAGACCTTCTGATACAACTTTCTTTTTGCCCAGCACTTCTCTTTGCTGTGGCATAGCCATGTTAGATTTTGTTTTTGCTTGTGCTCTGGAACGCTTCGTAGGTTCCAGCTCTAAAGATAACAAGGATATTTCAATCAAGAGGACGGGAAGCATGTCAAGCTAGCTCGTGGTATGAACATGGTATATTATTTCGTGGAACTTGCTTATCAAACACCCGACTGCACTACGCCTTCCCACTACTCCCACAGACATCCATCCACCGCTCCGTTTCCGCTTGGATCACCTTCATCTGTTCCTCAATCAGTCTCGGCACGCCCCAGTTCGCGCCATTCTGCCTCAGCACCTCGTTGCCCACCTCGAGCAACAACTTGTTCACGTTCAGCTTAATCGCGCCGGCCTTGATACACTTCCGCATAACCTCCTCTGGAAAGTCATTCGTGCCGTGCAACGCAATCTTTACGCGCCCGTTAATCTGCGCGTTGATCGACTCGAGGCGATCAAAGTGAATTTGCCCCGGCGCCGGTCCTTGTGGTCCATAATCGCCATGTACGTTGCCGATACTGGGAGCCAAGATATCAACGCCCGCAGCGAGGAAATTATCCACGTCCTCTGGACTCGTGAACAATGCCTCGAGTTCCCCTGTGTCGGCAATTCCATCCTCTCCGCCATTAATACGTCCGCTCTCTGCCTCCACCGCAATTCCCTTTGCGTGACACTCCGCTGTTAATTCGCGCGTCTTAGCCAGGTTCTCAGCCTCGTCGTAGTGCGACATGTCGACCATGACAGAGTCTACGGGCAAGTCAGAAATAATGGACCGGATGTGTGACGCGTCTTGCGCGTGGTCGATATGCAAACATAGCGGGACAGAGGCGGTGCGGACGGCGTGGGCCGCGGCGTGTGCAAGAAGAGGGAGTTGCTGGAGTGTGGAGGGGAAGAGTTGGATTATGAGCGGGGAGCGGCGGGATTCAGCGGCGGCGACGAGGGCTGTGAGTTGTTCGATATTGTAGCTGGGCTTTTTGTTAGTGATTGAGATTAAGACGGACATGGTGGACGTACGCAATAGCAGCTAGGACGCCGTAGTTGCCCTTTGCTGCGGCATCCAGAATGCGGAGTGTGCGGTTTTCTGAGAGTGAAGACATTGTTGCTGTATCGAGAGAGATGTGTGACGCTGAAGCTGCAATCGAGCGTGTCGATATAGTGAGAAAAGTCTCACGTGAATTGTCTTCCCTGCTTCGACACGGCCTACGAGAGCACCGCAATACCATTGCTCTACACGAGACTGCCGCGGCCTCTTCAGGCCATGATTGGACATCGCAACGAGCCATTCTCAGCCACGACTGCACAGCTCCGTAAACGCTACCCGCTTTAGCCGTAGTCAATCCGCCATTGTTAGATCGAGAATCGACCATTGTGGTTGTGACTCGTAACGAGGATCAAACACAAGCGAGCTGAGATCAGATCACCGACGTCACAAGTGCGGGACTGATTCCGATCTCCACCCCCAGCGCGGAGACCCGCGCACAAATTGACTCAGAAATGCCCACATAAAGAACTGAAGGGGGCCATTCACGACTCGTGATGTGGCGTTCAACCTCACAACGTGGCCAAGCCGCCTGCTCGATCCGGGCACCTGGGGCTTGAGCTATTGCCGGTGGTACGAGCTGCAGCAAGCGCTGCACGAACGGCGGGTAGCTAGTTCAGGAACGCGAACCCCGGTTCTGTGGGTGAGTAGAGACGGAAATACGGGGCATGTAGGACATCGATGCGAGACCATCAACACGAGTTGTGTCACACAATGAGATCGCATGGGCAACTTCTTCCATTCATGACTCGGCTCGCCAGTAGTTGGCAAGATCGTTGAGTAATGTTTTCGGTGGAAACTTAGTGATATCAAGAGTGCTTTCCAGTAGCTGCAGGATGAAAGCCTGCTTGGCAGGGTTCTGTACACAGAGGCCAGCTACAATACTGTCAGTAAGTCACCATATTCCTGACATGTCTGATCGAATAGCATACCTGCATACAGTGCTTGAAAGTTAACAAATGCACTGGGAAGATCTTTACCCTGAGGCATCATTGCTACGCCACATATCGTGTCCACGCTCTCGTCCAGGAATCGCTGTCGAACTCGAAAGTCGTCCATACCTCCCATCGATGGCTGGTTGATCAACACTATGATACGTGCAAAGTGGAATGTCTGGATTGCAGCAGCATACGATGGAGGATGTATCCATATCGGTGTAAAGAGTCCACTGGCTTCTGTGATGGGCGTTCTGTAGATGGGCTGGAACGACGATGGCAGCGTCCGCTGCCAGTCTTCCAGAGCCTGTAGCAGCTTTCCACCTTGGTCGATACGTGTGTTCATATCATATTTCTTCTCATTCGCAGCAAAGTCAACACACCTTCCGCAGATGTAGACAACCCGCAAGCATAATTCATCAGGGCTAAGATCCATTAAGCGCCTTGTTGGCCTCCATATGGTCAGCACTCGACGTCCTTCGCGGAACGCCACCCATATATCCTGGCGTATCCATTGCCACCATGCTGCTCTTGCCAGTGCATTCTTACACTCTCCGTTGTTGTTCTGGGCACGTTGTATCCAAAAGATGCCTCTGAGATGCCTCTCCCAGGCGCCAGAGTTGTACGCCCCTTCGGCGTCAAACATTTCGTACGTGCTGATCAGAAGCGCTGTAGCAATGATCTCGTCCGACTTGGAATACGACTGGTACAAGAGATTTTGCGAAAGATAATGCAGACATTCGTAGTAGTAATGTGTGGCGACCTGAAGCAGGGGATTCGTCAGGGCAGAGTCGCTGGCATTTGATCCCGGTGTGTGTGCAAACAAGTTTGACTGCTGCTGCGATTCCGCATGGAGAGCTTGGTGCCTCGCTGCAACAGCCAGAAGAGACTTCAAAACACCCGCATTGTGCACGGCCAGGCGCGGCACGGTGGCCGAGAACTGCTTCGTTGGGTCGCATAGGTCGAGAACGGGACCTATGACTTCGACGAAGTGACGAAAAAGCTGGAGCTCGACATCTGTCAATGGTATGGCGTCAATTGAATTCCACTGTTGGTGGTATACCGGGAGTTTCTCTGCTCCACTTGGTGACTGAATGTGGAGACCTACAATGTCAGCGTCAGGTACCGGACTCTGTCGCCTGGACAGCGTGGCGCGATCAAGGTCAAGGTTTAGATTGTACTTGTCGATATTGTTGATAGCGTCCTCAGCAAGTAAGTCGTACCATTCCAAAGGCGCCGAGTTTGGCGATGGCATTGATTGAAGAGCTGTCAATGGCGAGTCAAACATCAACTCGGGAGAGTTGGTAAATAGCTGCGGATCAAAATCCGCACTGAACGACTTCTTGGTTGTTGCTGGGGACACGGCACTGGCTATGGCTGGGCTATCACCCTTTGCCGAAGAGGTCGACTTGGAGCCTGTCTCTGAGCTATGCTTAAAGGACGGCGACACTGCATCAGAGTCCGCAGCATATAGGCATTCTCTATCGGACTTTGTGCAAGTTACACATCGCGGTCGAAGTTCATCACACTTGACTCGCCTTCTGCGACACGTCAGGCTGCGAAAGTCAGCTTAGGCATGATGTAACCGCAGCTCATGCCCTGAGGCTGCAGGTCATCGAGTATCTGCTAAAGTCGAACTATTGCTGACTCTTGCGCGATATGCGAGATGCACGCGATGCGCGTTGATGGTGGAGTGTAATGAGGCGAGCTTACCAGCCTGTTGTCGTGCGCAAACCTCTTGCGCGAGATGGACGCGGCTTCCGAGGCTTGTGTACACCTGTTGCTGTGGCGGGCATCTCCGTGCAGTCGCTTCACATAATGCGACGCCTTCGCTTCGAGGACGTGTGTTCGCTACGGGGATGATGGGTTTTGTCGAGTGCGAAGATGTGGGGTGCAGACTCCTCAAATCCCCGGCAGTTCGGCAGTCATGAATATGCACGTGACCGCACAGCGCTCGCACGCATTGACATTGGGGCTGTGAGACGACGCAAAGTATGGCAGTCCCTGGAGGTGTCAAGCTTTGGCATGGTGCGTTGGTGGAGCTTGTTGGCAGCTGACCCACATACTCCCTCTGACGAACCTGCATCCGGCGAGTCTGAACATGCATGAGACCATATTCCGCATGCAAGAAGGTTAGAAACATTGTTGCAGTTCTGTACAAAACTCCAAAGTCGAGCGAACTCCAACAAATTGTGCAAGTTACCCGAGCCCCCGAGTGGCCTGATCCAAGATCATATCGCGTTGACAAGTCAATGACTTTCCGCATGAAGAGACCGCGATTACTGCTTGGATTATGAATAGCAACAAAAACTAGAAAAGACAGCCGTTTCAACAAGGGAAGATATCGATTAGTAAAGAATTCGCATTGAAGTGAAATATCGTGGTATTCATGCAGTCTGCTAAGTATAGATATGCCCCCCCAAACTCCTCCCAATGCATACGCGACGTAATCATGCGAAACATCCTACCAGGCTCCGACGATTCCAGCGATAGGAATGTCAATGCCGGTAGTGTAGCTGGCGCTATCAGACAGCAGATAGACGTATGCGCCACCGAGCTCCCTGGGATCGGCCAACCTGGGCATGCCGCCGTAGTACTGCATCTTGAGATTCCAATCCGGAGCCTTCTCGACGTAGTAGGTCATTTGGGTGCGAACGAAACCGGGCGAGATAGAGTTGACACGAATGCCGTGCTTCGACCACTCCATAGCGAGGGTGTGTGCCATGTTGCGGACAGCAGCTTTGGTTCCGCCGTAAGGCGCTGAAGGCGCAGCGCGATTTGGTCGGTATGAGGTCATGGAAGCCGTGAAGACAACGGAGCCCTTGATGCCGAGCTCAATGAACTTGTTTGCGGCAGCTTTGGCGCAGAAATACGCGCCAAAGACATTGAGGTTGAACAGCTGCTCGAGCTGAGGACGGTCGAAGTTGAGGGCGGGCTGGTGCTTGGTCATGCCAGCATTCGCGATCATGCCGTGGATGGCTCCAGACTGTG